TGAGCCAACCGCGCCAGTCGACAGACAATGCGAGAGCGAGGAACCTTACCTGATCTTCTCGGCAGCTTAAACTGGATCTGGAGTTTCGTTTGGTCTGACAACCAGATTCGAAGACCCCTACATCTGTCGACCATCAATACACGATGGAACTCTGATCTACAACAGATATGTTACAGGGATAAGGGGACGGGCCACTGTCCCGTATGCGAGGAGATCCGTTGTGTCATTTCCAACACCTAAACACGGGTTCTGTATGGAAAATTCCCACACGAAACTTTTCCAGGTATTTCACGGCGGTGTCGCTTCAGTTGTTAATAGCTTGTTCGTGGAACACGGGGACAAGGTGAAACCAAATGCAGACCTCAGTCTCAACCCTTTCGTTGTTAAAGGTCAAGGGATCCTCCGTCATCAAGGTAAATGCGCCCCTTTCAATTCACGTCCCTTTTTAGCCTGTATCTTCATCTATTGCACTTAGATAGATAGAGTCGGGCTTCCTTCTACGCATGTATAGCTCATGATTGCCAAAATGCGCCTCTTAATCTTGGATTTCTCCCCTAAGAAGCAGAATGCGTTTGCAGTCTCGTCTGTTGGTTGGATTATAACATTCATGTCATGAAAAGAGAGATTTCGACTTTCCGGCCGAGGGAGTCCGATTTTGAGGTAATTGCATGTATTGAATCAGTGCATCATCCGATCGAACCGTTGCTCGTCGGTTTGTTCGTACTGTTCATTTCCGAAAATCAGTCGGCTAATTGGCAAAGTTTAGCAAGGCAAACGTAGGATGTTAGTAAGACAGTGGTGTCTATTGGGCAACACATTTTCCCACACACTATGTCGCTTTCAAAAGCATCTTATACCAAAAAGTCGTTAAAAAGATGTCGGGTTCGCTTTCCACTGCCACCAGTGTAACGTCCCGAGGCTCCAAATGGGGTAGTAGAAGGCATAAGTGAGGTTGAATACATGTATTCCGAAAGCAATAGGAGAACTGGCGGCCTGAGCGTGGCCCGAAGGCCAGCCCACGAGTACAACGGCCAGACAAATACTCAAGTGACCGGCGAACGTCGATTCGTCACATAAACAAAGCATTACAAATACATGTGTGCTAGGAGGAGATGAGGAAATCAGACCTCAATTTAGCCTCGAGTCAAGTACATCCACACAAGTGTAAGACGAACACATAAGTGATAGCCAGAAAAACAGGCGTTCACATAAAAATGTATTGAGGATACATCTCTTCAGCAGAGCACCTGTCCAAAACAGATTCATAACGAAAAAAACGAGTATAACCCTAGTACCGTGTGAAAGGGGTTCAGCGTAATCTCGTGATCGACACCTAGACGCGAGTTTGGTGGGGT